GTAAAGCTAACGCAATTGAGCCTTCCAAATAAACGAATTAGTTAAAACAAAAAAGTGGATGCACTTCAACCGTGTCAAAAATATGGTGTGATATTACTTGTCAAAAAGGACAAAATTATCATTAATACAGTGCATGAACTGACATTACGCTGCTTTTACTGCATTTGTTTATTGTTTTGGCCCTAAAATTTACATGATATTTTTGGCATGATTGAAGTGCATCCTCTTGGATGTAATATTAAAATTTATTTTTTGCTGTGTAGGCATTATGATTATCAATTTTGAAGTGAAACAACGTACGCCTGACAAAATTTAATCTTCAATTTTGTGACCCTAAACATAAACAACACTTAGGAACATCTAAGACCTTGCGTTTGAACTGAAAAGCCGATAAAAATAGTCGAATTTGCAGTTATTTTAGTCTTACTTTTTACCATGATGACACAGAACAAATGTTTTAACTCGTTAATTTTTCACAAAATCAGAGAAAAAAAAGTATTGTTTTATGATACTAAAGGTCCCAAACTGTGATCGTTTGCAATAAAACGTTAGGTACATTCACTTTTTTTAAAGGCGCCTTTATACATAGCGTGCACTATTGAACATCGACCATGGATTGATTTGAGGAGCTCTATCCAGTTGTTTATTGTTATTTATTATCTTTAGCTATCCTATATTAGTCCCGAGGGGGCGACTCTATCTACGATGCAGGAAAAATTGTATTTTGCTGTGGTTAGCTGCGTGCACGCTGAGTAGATATGAAGAACATTAATGACGATTTTGAAGATTTCCTGCAAAAAGATGATGCGCGATGCAAGTAGATACAAGAAATCAAAGAAGATTTTTCGAAGTTTGATTCGCTAGTGTGAGATTTGTAGAGCATCTAGAATTGAGATTTAGATGTGTCACCCCCCTCGATTAGTCCTATCATTGGACTAGGTACACAATCACGCGTAATAAGTATTCACAATCGATAAAGAAAACTCGTCGTGAATAGGGTAAATTATGGCTTCGGCACCCATTGACTGTTTTCGGCAACCGAAATTGAAACGTTTATTTTACTGTATTTTCCTATCAAAACGCTTCGCTGAATGTATTAAGCCGATTCCTTACCTTTTCAGCTTTAATCTGATTACATTTTTACGACTGTGAATTCCTGTTATACCATATTTTTCTTTAAATGAAATATACATACTACAAAATACGGCTGATTTCGAGTTGCCGATAATAGAACACCTGGTTAACACGCAGTTCAAATGGAAAGGGTGCCGAAGAAAAAGAGACTGCCGACAATAGTCACTCTCACCTGAGAAGTTTGGAGCGTTGTAAAAACATGTTCAACCCGTTTTGATCAATTCTGTCGATTGGAATTGGTAGAACGACAAGCAGCAGATAAATGTCAACAAACAAACCTGTCATGTATGTGTGTGACGCTGAGAAATCGCTAATAGAAGTTCGGACGCTGCTTAGATTGACGAGAATACGTAAATTCCCCTATGCACAAGAAGGAAGATTGATCAGCATCAAAACAACAGCAAAGAGTTATGGAAAATTTTGAAATCTTTTTTTTTCTTTGTTGTTGTCTTTACAGACGGCTAAGACCATAGTTTGGTCCATCTCGCCTTTGAAATCTTTATTAAAACCTATTAATTGCAAACCGCGGTCCATAACTTTCCAGAACAATCAGGATATTGGGAAGGTCATTCTTGTGAAACTGCGTTGAATTTGGTGTTAGCAAAGTGGAAATACAACTTGGAGCGTAAAGAAACGATTGTTGCTGTTTTTTGGATCTGAAACCCGCTTTTGAAACAATTTCTAGGCCCTTACTGTTAAGTACAATCAAGCGCTTTGGAATTATGAGTACTGCATATAAATGGTTTGAAAGCTATTTATCTGACAGAACTCAACGGACTGTTTTTAACGATTCTGTTTCCAGTCCCGTGGGGAATAACCTTGGAGTGCCCCAGGGAAGTGTATTAGGGCCTCTTTTAATTATTATGTATATTAATGACTTGCGACGTGTTTTACGGGTGTGCGAAATTAATATTTTTGCAGATGATACTGTGTTATTCATTGCAGCTAAGGATTTAGAAGTTGCCGTCTCACACTTGAATGAAGATTTGCAGTATCTAAGTAGAGGGTTGAAGTGTAAGCAGTTGACATTGAAAACAATTAAAAATAAATTTATGGTAATTTCGCGGAATCGATTAAATGAGAACGCCTCTGTTGTTATTGATGATGAGACTGTTGATCGCGTTCGGAAGATTAAATATCTTGGCGTGATTATTGATGACAAACTTAAGTTCAACTCTCACATTGACAATGTCATCAAGAAAATTCCCAAGAAGTATGGAATTATATGTCTATTGAAAAATGATTTAACTGTTGTCAATAAAATACAGCTATACAATTCAATCATCTCTCGTCATCTAGACGTTTGCCCATCCATTTTATTTCTGTCAAATGCAACACAAATATTGAGATTGCAGCGCTTGCAGAATAAAATAATGCGTTTGATTTTGATTGAACGTGCAACAACAATAGCAGAATTTAGGAGACATTGCATTTCACACGTTAAAACTGTGTTTTGAACGGTTATCCAGTGATTTTTTTTAATGAATTGACAAATTATGTATCTTGACGAAGTTATTTTTAACGGATTATATTGTATGGATAGCTGTTATAACGACTTTTTAATAATTATTGTAGCACTGCAAAAACTATTTTGTTCGCCACGATGGTGATGATGGATTTTTTATATTTGATTTAATAGTAGTAGTGAAAAAAAATTTTTTTAGTCGTCTACAAACGTTTTAGCCTGGCACGCGTAATACGGATATAGAGGACTAAATTTAACATTTAAAAAAAAGGCAATTTTGAAGCTTATTTGGAAGATACCTTGAGTTAGTAGTATGTTTTCTGGCAAATGTTGGGGGTTTGTGAGCATTCCTGACATTGCTGAAAATTATGATAACATCATATTGCGGAGTTGCTAGTGTAATAGGATGCTTTGTTGATTGTTCATTAAATCTTGATCGCTTGTAATACTTATGAATATTTTAGGTGGACAAAAAGGCAAACTAAGAGGTGGACGTCTGAGCTTTTCCACATTCATATCGCTGTGAAGCAACTGTAAACTCTAGAGGGAATTTATATCTGTAACTGTAACCAGTTCGATTTTGTTTGCAAACCTGGTGAAATTGTCATATTTAATTATCTTAGAGATAAATCGTCCAGCTCAAACCTTTGTAGCGTTTAGAGGTGAGACCATCATCATTTCATCATCATCCTGCGGCATAATCTCGATCGCACATAATCTTATGATCGGTTGATGCGTTTGAAACATGCAGGCTTGGCAGTTGGCTAATTCTAAGTTATTTTTCGTAGCTTCATCTCCCCGGGCTTAATGGCCTTGCTTAGTACCAACTAATTTTGCTTACTAAGTAGAAGATAGTGGGATCTAAATACCCCTGGCCACTTTGCATTACTGAGCTGATAGGGTCGCGTTCTCGCATAATTTTTTTATCACACGCTATTTCAAAACTACCCAAATTAGGGTAGAATCCACCCTGATCGGTCAAAACTGAAGCTACCCAAAAATGGGTAAACTATTTTGGGAGTGACAAGTTGACAAATGGACAACATCGACATGAATCCGATCGACTTTGTTCATTTGTCAACTTGTCTCTCCCAACATAGTTTACCCATTTTTGGGTAGGTTCAGTTTTAACCGATCTGGGTGCATTCTACCCAAATTTGGGTAGTTTTGAAATAACGTGCAAGGTCTAAAATGTCAATTCAAGCGTAACAATTCAAATCGACGAATCTGATTTTGTAAACAATCACTTCAATCGATGATTTGTGGCAACACAAAAACTAACAACACCAGCTAGTAGGGCAAACTATCTGATGATGGTGTTTGTTTGCGTGGGCGTTGCCACAAATCGTCGATTGAAGTGATTGTTTACAAAAGCAAAATAGTTACGCTTAACTTCACTTCCCAAAGTAGATCCATTTCTAATTTACCCTTCTCAATAACAAAAACATCCTGCCTGTGACTACCGTCGAGATCCACCGAGATGAATGGATTACTTATTCCAAGCCCCGTTAATTCGGATCTTTGTTGATTTGGCTGGATCTGGTCAGTCCAATCGTAGAGTCTAATCGTCAAAGCCAGAGAGGCAACTCCACGTAGACCCTGTCTATCGAAACCATCAACTCGTATGTTTCTATCAATCCTGAACGTTTACTCATTCGCTTCTCACTTTTTAATTAAATTTATGGACATTTTTATATATTCCTACACAATTGTCTTTGACCAGTTAATATGCAAAAATACAATTAACAGAAGCGATGCCAATCAAACGATTAATTTGAATAACGAAACCAGAAAATACATTCATAATCAATTTAAATACCAAAACTCAGCTCCATCATGATGTGCGTGTGCAATAGCAACTGACATACATTCAGCTGAACTAATTAGATTACAAGATTAATTGAAAACAATATGCAAGTTCTATCGCAACGCCACAAGGCCCTTGTGGTCACAATAATAAAAACGGGCCGTAAATTATTCTACATTAGATCCTCTAAAGATTTACAATCAAATCACAGAGTTGTTACCGGCACATTTGCCATAAGGTTTCAATACTATTTCTAATGATTATTCTGTCAAGGTATTAAACTAGGAATGTAGCTTTTTTATTGCAACTATACCTTTGGGAGTCCTATTATCGCGAGTTACGATTTATAGTTATTTTAACTTGATTCCGCAATAATGTCTTCATTTGAATTTCACAAATGCTCTCTCCCGCTGTGGGTGCTAACAGGTTCACGTGCTACTGTTGTGAACAAAAGAAATATGTAGGGCGAATGATTTTGATGTCAACATACAAATAGAGTATATTAAGATGTCAGATGATCAGAGCTGCAAGCATTTTCATGAACTAGTAAGGACTAGCATACTTACTGAAAATGCTCTCAAGTGTTAATTGTTCGGACTAGTCAGCAACGAAATTAATCAGCATACACCGTTCGGAGCAGAGTGAAGTAAGACCATGATGCACTCAAAATCTAAAATGGAAAACCGCACCCAGCATTATGACAGGAAAACAATATAGAGAAAGCAGCATACTTACACTTGCAAAGGTATTTAAATCCACGGGCCATATTTTCCACGCCATCAAAGTTAAAGGTATTTGAGCTTTGTTGATCATCTGTAGGATTATCGTTCGGAACTGACGATTTGTGTTGTACCACGGACAGTTGTACGCTGCTTCCGCTGCCTGAACACTCTGTCGGATAATCATACACGCATGTCGACAAATCAGTTAATGATTTCCAACTGCGCAATTTGAAGTAACTTACGCTTTCCACAATGTGCTGTCCGTAGAAACATAGAAGAAATAGTTCGACGAGGAAACTTGCAAGAAAGAGTGCAAATTTTACCAAAGTGTATCCAGAGGCTGCCTGCAAGTAAAAATGGGGGTTGGTCATTCGTAAATTTGGTTAAGTAGCCAAGTCTACAATACAGTGGCATTATGGGTGATGGTTTTATGTTACTACTTTTGTCTATATCGGAGGAAAATCATTCTCAAATCTCATTCATTGAGCCTCTTTGAGAGAATAAACTTGCGTGTGAATCTGGCAAACAAATCACACGTTTATGATTCTCATGCATTTTCACGCACTCACACTCACAACGCCAAAAAATCATTACAGTTTGAAACTCAGAGAAACCGCTCAAACGTCAATTCAGGCATAACATTTGATAACGGCACAAAAGCATTTGTAAACAAACTTTCTAAGGCCCTTTACACGCGAACCAAAGTACGCCCACGCAAACCAATACCACTTTCGGAAAGGTGATAGTTGCCCCTATCCGATGATGTTGTTGGTTTGCGTAGGCGTACTTTGGTTCGCGTGTAAAGGGCCTTAGAAAGTTTGTTTACAAATGCTTTTGTGCCGTTATCAAATGTTATGCCTGAATTGATAGTATGCTTATGTAGGGGAAATGTCTCTAATGTTGGTCTATGAATCTAAGATTGGGCCTATCGCTAAAAATCTGCTATTTATCAAATTTATGGTAGATGAACGCGTCATTGGGACGGTACTAATGGAGATTTTTGGATGCTATTGAAAATTTAGTCGATTGCTGAATTTATGTATGGATCTGATAAACCAGCGTTTTTTTTTAAACGGAAGTTTGGCTATTGTTCGCACGCAAAAAAGAAAAAAAAAGATGCTGTGATCGCGACCGTACATACAAAGTTTAGACCAGGCATTTTGCTTATTGAATGAATGACCGGGTTGAAAGTTCCAGAATGGGTTGAGACAGATACAAGTGTGAATAGGGATCAATCAATACGACAAGTAACTATCCTTGAGGCTCGACCGGCATTGGTTCCTCGCTCAAAGGCGCCATGGAAAAAGATTACTGTGGGGGAGAGGGTCATAAATTGTGTATTCACTTGTATATATCGAGTATTGCACTTTTTGAGAGATCCGGTAGGTGATTTTATATATGCACGAAATTCTGAAAACCAATGATCGAAGCAGGCCGCGCTGCGAAAATTACGTGTTTTTGTTTTGGGGCGTCATTTTCGTTCTAGTGAAAATGTTATAAATTTACAATTTCATTTTAAAAAAGTACAAAAGTGGTGTTGAAAAGTGCATTAAGTGAAAAATTTCAAATTCCTATCCCTTGCATGTGGTGCCGACTGTTCTAGCCTACGCGCAGTTACGCTCAGCTAAGTTTATTTACCTTCGATAGGATTTATGTCCTCGATAGGAAATATCCATCTAATTCAAGACGATTATTTTAAAACTTACTAAATACGTGTCAATCAAGTATTGCACTACTGCTTGATTGAAAGTTTCAGTACATTATCAATGGTGTATATTTACATCGATAATGTATTGGAGCGGGACTTATCATGTGTGAAAATAGCTTCGAACTGCTTGCGTTCTTGAAATGGGCTATTGTAGCTGCGGTAGAGCTGTCACCTTCTAACTCCCGGGTTCAAGCTTCTTTGCATTAATAAGAATTGATTGCAGGCAGATTTTATCCAAATACCACTGCCAGACAGTGGGAGTTAGGTCAAGGGCGAATCTTCATTCTAATCGACGATTCCACATACTATATTAATAACCTTTTACATATCACAATGAATTGTGCATATGTTAAGGATCAACAAACATTTTCAGGCGCAAACAAGCAACAGGATCGAGCTGATAACGTTTCATAATTCCAAAATCTGAACACTGTTTTGAATAATATGTTTAGGTAATGGGCAGCAACAACGGACAGATAAACTACTTGCAGCTTCTATTTATTAAATGCTCGATATAACGATTGCCAGCAACGCTGGCTGGGCGTATCCTATGGCTTACCCTCCCTACTAACAAAAATCCAACCTTCCCGTGACACTTATGAGGGGTCGTAGAGTTCTCTGCATCTCTCTTAAGTAAGTGTCGGACTAACATTCCTCTCCTTTCCCCACCGGATGCAAGGACGTGGCCAGGACAGCTCTGGTCTGTTGGAGGGAGACTCATCCTGTATCTAAGAGGTAGTAATTAATCGCAAATTACTATCTAACAGCAACGGATGAAGGTGGGTCTCCTTCTTAACAACAGTTTGGAGCTCGTACCACCTATGCTATGCACGAAATTCTGAGAACCGCTATATCGTTTTGCTATGGAATGGCTGTATATATTATACATTATGTATCCAACTGAACCGCCCGGAATTCAATGCACTACGGTACTACAAATTTGGTATTGTGTACTACACTGAGAAAAAGCGGAAACAGAGGAGGCCTACAACCCCTTCTTACGATTAGACCAGTTCCACGCCAAATAGCAAAAAAAAATAAGAAATAAATGACTTGACCATCTCCAATTTTTATGAAATTTTGATTATTTTTTGCAAAAATTCGGGTATTTGGCATCTAGTATTTTTTTCCAAAATGGCGTCTTTGACATTTTCCAATAAATTGTAGTTTTTTTTTGTTATTTCGAGTAAAAATATTTGACCAAAAGTTCTTGAAAATTTTTGACAATTCCGGAGTGATTTGAGATTTGGGCGTAATTGCATTTGTAAACAAACACGTCAATCACCGATTTCTCACGAATAAAAGCTCAATCTCGAAAAGTAATAACAATGATTCCTCTATCATTTGGTATAGTTTGTTTGTGAGATTGAGATTTTATTCAAGAGAAATCAGTAATTGACGTGATTGTTTACAAAGGCAATTACGCTCAAATCTCAAATCACTCCGGAATTTTCAAGTGTCCATGGTTATATTAGATATTCCAAAAGTTAATTTTTCATGAGCCTTTTTTAAATATAAAAATTGAATATTTTTTAGATAATTGAGTTCTTAAATTACAATTTATTAAAAAATTACAAAGACGCCATTTTGAAAAAAAAAAACAGAGACGAACCAGTCAACGGCTGAAAGTCTCTATAATAACGAAATCAATCAATCAATTAAAAAAAAAAATTACAAGTCGAATTTTTGCAAATATGTGAATGATTGCTCATAGCACACAATTATGAAAAAAAGAGATGAACTAGCCTCAGGCTAAAAATCTCTATAATAAAGAAAAAAAAAAAAAAAAAAAAAACAATTATGAAAAGTTTTGTGCAAATCAGAGAAGATCGAGTTTTTCCGGTGGCGTGGAACTGCTGAATAGTTAAATAATCAATTGTAGGTTCTAAAAATGTTCGACCCCATAGAGTCTCTTATTTGAGCCTATCAAATAAATGACTGGAAGAAAAAGAATGAAGTTAATATAAATGCACAATGCACGGGCTTGTGCAGATCACGTAAGTGCATCCAAGTGTAAATGTAACAAATTGATTCAATGTATGATACTTACGGTAACCATGAAGCCTTGAATGCAAATTATGAACGAACTTACAAAAAAGTTATAAAACAGCGCAAAATTGAAAATTACATCCATTGATTTTTTATACCTACAAAAGAAAATTATTCGTAAAGTTGGCACTGTAAGTAACACGTAAGACAATATTCACTCTTCAATCTTTTGATGTTTTTGCACAACATTGAATAGTCTTTCGTTTAAAGTTGGTAGCTTTCCGTAGGTATCGATAGATTCATTGGTTATGTTTTCCAAATCGTACTTCAAGATCATAAAATGCACACATAAATGGGCGGAAAGAATGCAGAACAAACAATCGAACCCCTGTAATTCAATGCAAATTTCGGTTAACCAATAACAAATAGCACTACAGTCGACATTACCATGTGTATGATGATACCAGAAAATCCTATCACAATGTACAACGGGTATATCAATAAGTACACGAACCCAGAATAGGGATCAAAGGGCCACCAAATCAGAAAGGGCAGTTGACGTACCCATTCACCCGTAATAGTATAGTGATATATCATCTCCGGAATCGGCAGAAGGGTAAAAGCCATCCCCATCACAACGTTAACGACTGCTACCATTGTTGTAAAACGAATTGCAGGTTTCATCACTTTGTCACATATTATTTGATGTTCTACGCTACGCACCTATCGTTGAGGATTCATTTAACAGATAAACACATTCGATTCATCATCTTTCGAACAAAAACATCTTACCGATGCATCCCAATCATTACGAAGAGTTTTTACCAATCCCGCAATGGTGTTTCTCTCGATGGCCAAAACTAACATCTTCATCAATCCGATAGTGCAATAGCCAAAGCACGGTGCTTGAAATGTAATCTCCAGGAATGTGAACTCGCGCTGTAACATTTGCACTAAATAAACTAATTCACCACATGAGGTGTAAAACAATAAAATAAACGCTATCACGAAAATAGCATTCATTCTCAATGCGGATCCAAGCGTATCCGGGTAAAATAAGCTGCAAGATGGAATTCCTGAAAAAAATGCGATTCTATCAGATAAGAGGTGTATCACTTAGAACACATTTAATATTAACCGGTTGTTGAAAGAATGAAATCCAGTGCTTTAAAAGTTTGTTCGAAATTCACCATTTTGGAAAAAAAAGTGCCAGCTGTTCTTGTTGATTACTAGGCCCGACGAATGCAAATAACGTTATGAAAGAGCTGGTATCCGATGCTAATATACGTACCAGTTCAAATAAAAAACAGAGCTCGATTGCAATGAACATCATTAAATTTTGATGACATAAATATAGTGCACCAGTATGAAGTGAATTGTTGTTCGTTATTCAATTTAGAGCTGTGTGATAAACCCAAGCCTAACCCTTCTAATGGGCTCATCAACCATCGATGGATGTAGGTAAATTGAAGTATTAGGGACGTAGAATCAACATATTAGAATCATAAAACATTCTGACACCTTCAAAATTTGACGTCAAAATTTCACCAAGGGAAAAGTTCGCGAGTCATAGTGAGTTTTCACAAACTTTTCCATCACAGATTACTTTTTTAGCTGGACCGTTTATCATCTATCTATAACCAAGATCTTGTTCTTTTTCCCATGAGCGAGAAATTCTAAGTCTAAGGTGCCGACAATTTTCACTAATTCACTAATTCTTTATCTTGAACGTTTTTTTTCAGCCCAAGCTCACAAAATGGTCTAAAGTTTCAGAATATCAAAAAGTCACTCAAACTCTAGAATTTTGGGTAATTTTTCAACACCAGAATTATGAAAAAATATTGAAGTTTGGAACTCCAAACCCTTTTTTTTCTTCAATGCTTTTTACACTTCTGTAGCGAGCGTTTGCACTTCCACAGCTATTAGTTAGGAGCTTACCATGACAACCAATGCATGAATTTGTGTATCGCGTGATAAGCACACACTGCCCAAGTAACCATAGGCACGTTATTTCGCCTTTTTGGCTATATACAGCTGAACAACGGCTATACCAGTGTTTGCAAGTTCTGATGAGGCCCGTATATAGCCAAAAAGGCGAAATAACGTGCCTATGGTTACTTGGGTGAAACTCTATGCCCATGGAAGTCGAGAAAACATCCAACCCGAAAAATTTCCTCGAGACCGGGGATCGAACCCGCCGCCTCTGGCTTTGTAAATCTGATCCAAGACTATCGAATACCCCTCTAATCTTTAACCCTAGTCTTATTTAAATTTTTTTCTAGAATTTTAAATTCTTTAAGAAAAGCTTACTTTTCAGGGCACAACATTTTTAAACTCTAAAAACTGGTATTGAAAGGGGTAAGGAAATTGAGAATAAACGTGGATACAATGCTATCAATTCATCAATGACACTTTCATAGATTATTTAAATAAATTAAACGGTACTTGTTTAAATTAGAAACCAATTTTATATGCATCAGTTTGTTTGATCTATTCACTGGAATCAATCAAATGCAGTTTCAAATCAAACCCTACTTCACTCGATAGGCAAGCCGTTATTACTCAATCTACGCTGCACTGTGAATCCCTTTCCACTGGACTCGGTACGCTTGGTACCCGAGCAAAGCCCAGCATCAAAATGACAGCAAATCGAAATCAAATTTTGATATCAACCCCAATAAAAAAAAAACATACCATACCCGAACGATTAGCGGCGCCGGTGTTGTAGTGGTAAGCGTGATTGCCTCTCACCCCAGCAGGTTCAATCCCAGTCGGCGCCGCCGGGATGTTCTGAGGCATAACATCTCTGATCACGCCTCCCTTCGGGAAGTAAAGCTGTTGGTTTCCGGTTCATGAGTTGATGAGTCGATAGGTAGGGTCAAGGTGTGGGAGCTGCCTCTCTGGCGTCGGTAGCATTGGTGTTCAGCACAAGGCTAGTAGTGGATATGAAAACAGTGACCAAATAGTGACTTTAAAGCAATAAAAAAGTGACTAATAGTGAAATTTATTGATCGAAAAAAATGGTTACAATCAGGGCTATTCTGCGCGGCGTGTGAGGTGAAGTGACAGTGAAGTGATGGTGAAGTGACAATTATCACCTCGGGTGAGGTGACTCTCCATTTGATTTGCACGGAGAGTCACCTCACCCGAGGTGACAATTGTCACTTCACAAGTGAGAGCGTGTCACCTCACCTCACACGCCGCGCAGAATAGGCCTGAATTTTATAAACTCACAACCACAACCCATCCTGATCATTTTTCGTGCTCCTTTAAAATAAAAAAAAAAGGCGCCGGTGGTGTAGTGGTGCGTGATTACCTCTCACCCCAGCAGGCCTGGGTTTAATACCAGTCGGCGCCGCCGGGATGTTCTGAGGCATAACATCTCTGATCACGCCTTCCTTCGGATGGGAAGTAAAGCCGTTGGTCCCCGGTTCATGAGTTGATGGGTCGATAGGTAGGGTCCAGGTGTGGGAGCTGCCTTCCTGGCACGTCGGTAGCATTGGTGCTCAGCACGGAAAACAAGATCGACGGAAAAAACAAACCAAAGGAAATAAAATAAAACAAATCATGGTTTACCGATCGCATAAGTTTGCCTCGAGAAATTATTATTTATTCATTATACAGTGAACAAGGAAGTCAGGATAACCGGGAAAAAGGCGCGAATTCTAAATCACCGGGAAAAAAATCGGGAAAAGTCCGTGAATTTCGATGACAAACCGGGGAAAATAAGATTCTGGAACTTTAAACAATTGCAAGGCCCCTGGACTTTAAAATAATTTCAGGATACAGTCACTTTAATGAACTAAATATTATGAGATTTTGAAAAGATTTTAGGATGAATTCTGCAGATAACAACAATGTGACTCTAAGAGAGAATTTACTAAAACTCCAAGTCAAGTCTTGGGACTTCAGACGTTCAGAGTAGAATCTTTAGGTAGTTCTTTTGGAAAATTCATGACGATTGTGAAGCGGATTCCAGGTCCATTTCAAATGAATATTCAAAATAAGTTCTTAGAAGAATTGTGATGGCAATTCAAAGGAAATTCTTAGAAAATTTAAAGATAATTTCAAACGAATTCTGAGTTTCATGGATCTCACAATAAAAACCAAGGGAGTCGAATTTTGAGGGAACAATTCCAAAGGAAATTCTGATATGAGTTTTATGAGAATTCCGAGTTTAATTCCAAGAGCATCTCGAGTAGAATGTCAACGGTATTCCTGAGGAGAATTCCAAGCGAATTTTCAGAAGAATTTAGTGGAGAGCTCCAAGATAGTTATGAGCAAAATTGTGTGACAATTCTGAGGATAATTGCATGTAAATTATAAGGAATATTCAGACTAATTCTAAATAGAATGTAAGAAGCATGTAAGGCTCTGAACCATTTGGTGGATTTTTTTAACTTTTGGTTAAAATTTGACAGATGGAAAGTTATCGATTAACCCTGCTATCCGAGCGTAGTTATTTCTGATCAGGGTGCCTTCCATTCATTTTGACTAAAAAAATGTTTTAAGAAATTATGGAATAATAAGATATTATGAAAATATTTTGATTATGTAAACAACAAGAAAAGATTGTTAAGTTTGTGTTTGACACATAATACCTGCCAATTTTGCTACATGAGAGACGCAATAAGCGATTTTGTAATTTATCTCACCCACTCTTCGCTCTTCACTCTTCGCGAAGAGGCGATCAGAAAAACGCTCATTGTGACTCTGTCAAAGCTAAATTTGCAGGTTTGATGGGTGAAACACAAACTTTACAATCTTTTCTTATTACTTACATATACAAAATATCATCATAATATCTTATTATTCCATAATTTCATAAAACATTGTTTTAGTCAAAATGAATGGAAGGCACCCTGTTTCTGATAGACAAGAAGTTAAATTTTGACAACCGTTGCTGAGTTCTTCTCGAAAACTGGTCGATCGACAGTACAGGGATTTTCGAACATACAGAATAACTTTCGAAACGTCACTTTTAACCACGAGTTAAAATTAACTCGGCAAATGGTTCACAGCCTAAGTAAGTTTTAGTAAGTTTTTACCAAGCGAATCTTTATGCCCGGCTGTATTTCCCTGTTGTGAAATATACATTTTAATTAAGCATATATGCGATTGAGCCGAAGAGATCACTAAGCTAAATGGGTTATAATTTAGTAATCAGAAATTTCCCTGGCTCAAATCAAACGGGATAATCACGAAAATTTCGGGAAAACCCCGGGAAATTACAAATTGCGATTTGCTGGTCACTATGATTAGGGTCTCTTCATAAACTACGTAGACATTTTTTTGGGATTCTTAACCCTCCCCCCCTCCCCCTGCGCAGACAATTGTCCACACAAAAATTTTAAAATTTGTATGGACCGTGGATAATTGTCAACCCCCCCCCTTAAACTGTCTACGTAGTTTATGAACAGCCCCTTATGACTAATGCTAATTTGATTTTTGTTTTATGTCACCCAAAATTTGAAAATTTAGGTCTTTTAAAAATTATTTTCCACTCTACGCTTTATCCTTAAAGTACACTTTTTCTTATTATTGATTTATGGTTTTATCATTCAATGAGTCACTTATACGTAAATTTAATTGTTGTTTGTTATTTAATATGTGCCCCTCCTCGTCCTATTTGAGTGATGTCGGACATAAAATGAAAATATTATTTGCATCATCCTTATGCCTTATTAGGTAATCAAATAATAATAACAAGGCAAATGTTTACAATTTTTAGACAATAAATTTTAAAGACCTCGGATATAGACATTTTTGAAACACCTCAGATTTGTATAGCTCTAAGAGCTACACATCTTCTCTAGATAGCGGTCCAAGAAAAAATCTCATTATTCTGGAACGAGGAAAATTTTCCAAAATGGAAGGATCGTGAATACACACGGCAAATTAATCTGACTCATATTTGAGTCAAGTTAACTTAAATTCGCAAAAACGTAGGTCACAGAAATGAGTAAATTTTTACTCAAAGATGCGTAATTGTCACTCATATATGAATAAATGGCATTCAAATATCTGTGATATTTGATCATATTTGAATAAAAATGTACTCAAATGCGAATTCTAGTTAACGGGGCTCACATATGAGTCAGATTTATTTGCCGTGTAAAATATTTTGCATGCATCTCGGACTTAACATCTGGAAATCGAAAAAAAAATTGAAAGATTCCGGGATATCGAAATCTCTAAGACAAACAAGTTGAGAAACTTGTGCGGCCCGGAATAATTTTCATATTTTGAATATAGGGAATGTAAGTTCACAGTCCTTGAAAAATTTAAATTAGTAAATTTTCCAAGACCATTTTTTGAAATATCTAAGACTTGGAAAACTTCCAAGATCACGAAGTAAAGAAGCCAGGATGTTGGAATCAGATTTGTTTTTTTATCGAAACCTCAGAAAATTTGCGATCTTTTACTATTTGGTCTGGAAATAAAATCGAAGATAACGGACCTGAATGTCCAAATCACGGAGATGAAATAAATAAAAATATTGTCAGCACGTAAAAAAAAGATCGACGGAAAACAAATCAAGGAAAAAACATAGACACTAGCGCCACCACACTATGAGGGTTTGCATGATACAAGTGGTTATTGCACGGACGTAAAAAGGAACTCACATGATGAGTAAAGTTTACTCACTTTCTATTTGTTTAATACAACATTTTATTCACATTCTTCAAAACTGGATTTACTCACAGCTGTGAGTAAATCCACTTTTGACGAGTGAGTAAAATCATAGAGGTAACTCTAAGACCAGAAGGTCCCGAAGAAACGTGCTCAACTTATTGGCTCAGCTCTGGTACTCTCTTCCGTCTCAAGCTAATCGATGCACTCCTCGAAACATAGGAAAATCCACGAACCCCTCATTTTATCTGTCAAACGTTCACAGCGAATCAAAACAACCAGTGGAAACTAACGATTTTAAATTGGCTCACTACTTGACTATTGGTCCCAAGTTCATAAATCTATAAGCGTACCCCATTCCAGTAGAAATTATAGTACTACACTATGTATGCTTGTTTTGAGTCGCTATGAAAGTTTGACAGATAAAATGAGGGGCGCGTGGATTTTTTTATGTTTCTAGGGGTGCATCGATTACCTTGGGACCGAAGATAGTACTAGAGCTGAGCCAAAAAGTTAAGAGTTCCAGTTAGATTTTTTGCCGAGATGGGCACCACCGAGCACCTCGGTATTTTGTTTTGCTGGATCTCAGTTAAAAACATACCGAGATTAATTTTTTTACCTCTATGGTACTACTCGGTCTATCATAAGTATTAACGAACAAATCCGCTTAGTGGGATGATTTTTCAGCTGTCAAACTGTAGTTTTTCCTGCAACTAGATGCTATCCAAGTATCAACCATGAATTGTAAAAGCCCAAACGCAATGTAAACGGAAGTGGAACGAAAACGGCAAGTTTGATAGGTGTCACAAATGACATCAAGATGCCTAACCGAAGTCGATTTGGTTCTAACTAGTTTTCAGTCCGACAAGAAGGCTTACTCAGATCTGGCTTTCCCGCTGCCGCTGCCGTTATGTTTCCGCTATCATTACACTTGGGCCTTAAAGGCTAGCTTGACAACAATTTACTGATTTTTTATTAGTTGGGACGTAAACCAATTTGCCAACTCCCAACTAAAAAACAGCCCGACTAGAAAACCCCCAACGAGCGAATGATGACTGTACTTGTATTCAGTGCAGTGTTAAAAAGTATGTACGATTCGAGATAGAACGACATGATGTGAAATTTGAAATAATTTATTAGTTGGAGACTGGGACAGTAGGCTAAAACAACTCTAAATCAAATTCCGATCCAAAGTGTGACGACTAAAAATATGTAAGATGTAAACCATTAATCACGTCGGTTGAACTGTTCATTCGCGTGGGATTCCCCATTTCCTACCTCTTCTACAAAGTACCCCACAAATATGCATTGCATACCTAGCGCCAGGTTAAATTGCAATATCTGAGTTCATTCTGACAAAGTGTTATTATTTATTACCGAAAAGATCTACATACACTTTGACTCACGGCGATTAAGTATGAGACTGAAATAGCATAACATTCTTCATGAATCTGACGTTTGCAATTCCGCAACACGTTCTAAATATCCAAAATTACTTAAAAATGTTTGACGAGTAAAGCAAATCTGTGCTTGCAAAATTTTAGCAAAAGTCGAGTTTTTGCATTCCATTCTAACACAAATAGCCATATACTTCTGTCTTAAAAAAACATGGATGAGCAGTTGCCATGTGAACTTATCAACAATGATAGTGAGGTTTAGGCAGAGCAGTCCATAGTATGCCATGGCAATATGTTCATATCGGACCGTTCATATATACAGTGATAAGCAGGCTGTGGAGTGTAATTTTACCAGTCATCCAATGGGACATACCCCCAGAATACCCCAAATAACGATAGATATAGGCAACAGGTACTAACATAAATAATAAATATGTAAACAACATTTCGAACGTAGTTAGAACTGCTTCTAAAGGGTACCACCCTCGAACGTTCGGTTACCATGACCACGTGGGATCCCAAACATTGTGCCCAGTGCAACCCACTTCATTAGAATCAACAACAAATACTGTGCATGGCTTGCATTGCTAGTTGGTTTCGCATTTATCTTGAATAATGTCACTATTTAAAATCTGTAACTGGTGGAAAACTCAGTGTCCCGACGTGGAACCCAACTACGATTCATTTTCCGTCCACTGCACACGGTTGTGCCTGGAGGAAGGTGAAAAAGATAGCATAATCGTGGGCTCCCATTCGGGTCACCTATCGATTTACCAGCCATCGAGTAGAAGCACAGCGGACGGAGAATCTGACGAGGATCAACTCTTTGAAAATGTGTTCCAGTATTCAGATGTGATATTGGAAACTAAATTAACACTTCCTGTCATTGGAATAACGAGTGGAAAATTTACTACGTAAGTGGATTGTCAAAAGGAATTTAAATGTCATAACCCAGAGCCTAAATGTTGTCCTCTTCAGAGCGGCCAAAGCGGACCCAAAATTACACATTGCTGTGTTGCATCCAATGAAGGTGTGCATTTACCAACTTTTAACGCTGGATGGCATTGCTGACCATGGTAGGTTCATTCTTAAAACTATACATTACAAGGCATTAACTCCCACTATGTTCTTCTCAGGCGATCATACAAAACTGATGATGCTATACGAGCACCCTCTCGGCAAAGCAGCATTTTCATTATGTCGGGGAAACTTTGGGGGTGTTAAAGGGCGCGATTTCCTCTGCATTCAACACATGGATGGTTCCTTGAAGTTTTTCGAACAAGATGGAATATCGTTCGAGCGTGATTTGCCAGGTGAACGGAACATTCCCTCGCCGATACATTACATACCCAGGACCGATTGTTTCGTAACGGTGTCCCCTGGTTGGGATCTTGAGTGCTACCGATACCAAGATCTTTCTGAGCCAAATGTCTCGCTTCGAAGAAATGATCCCATCTGGTCGCTGTGCATCGGAGAATATGCACTGGATTTGAATGTGCATCAAGTATCAAAGTATACCAGTTATTATTTTATGTGATCAAATGTTACTAATCGTTACAATTTACAGTGTGGAGTCGGTTATAATAGTTTTGGGAGAGAACAATCTATTTTGCCTAACAGATACCGGAAAACTGAAGTTTATCAAAAAACTGGATTACTCACCCATCTGTTTCTTCTCTTTCGTCATCGGATGGTATTGGGGTAGGTGGAAGTAGCATTGTATCACGAACAAAATATTGCAATTTGCAACCACCAAAATATCTCCTTCAATCCCTGTCTCTGTTATACGTTTAAACTAGTTCTATCTTACACTTTCTTTTACAGAACCAGATGCTCGACTTATGATAGCAATAGTGTCGGAAAGTGGTTCCTCACTGCTGTATGAGGGTTCCCAAATAGTTTGGTCTGCAGAGCTACCAGAAGTACCAGTGGCATTGTCACGTGCCAATGTATCTGGATTGCCAGGGGCACTTGTGACGCTAGACAACACCGGTGTCCTTAGCGTGGGCTTCCTCGGTTCGGAGCCCCATCTCTTCAAAGTACCTCCGTTGAACCTCGCTCCTTTGGAGGTCGCAAAATGCCAAAAGGAAATGATGGAATTGGAAAAGGAAATTCGAGCCGGAGTTGATTTTAGCGATATTGCCTTGATCAATGCTGCCACGGAACGGGACGTAGCATTGCACGCTATACTCGATCCGAAGCTTGAACGATGTACCTTTTCTACTAACATCTCAACCGAGGAAATAAGTGTCAGCATGTGTCAAATTGTAGTAACAGCAACAACCCGCATCAATCTAGAATTGCTTCAAATATGCGTTGCAACAGATCCAGCACTAAAGTGTAGCAAAGAGATTTTCATGTTTCGCGATATCGGAGCCGACAAGGTTCAAAAGGTAGAAACCTGGATCTATCCTTTCGAGGCAGCAATTCCAGCTGGCTTAACGGTTCATGTTTCATGCTCTTATACCAACAAGCAAGGCATCTCAAGGGTGCTTCAAAAATGTGTCATTCTACCGCTGGAAATGTTTGTTAAATCAACTCAGGCTTCTAAAGAAGCCAGTCATAAGGTTACGCTAACAGTTCACAACTCGAATGAAGGACTTGTTAACCTGTTTCCGGAATTCTTTAGTGAAGGAAGTCCGCACGCCCTAGGATTGCTGTCGGTCATAACAGGGAGCAAGGCCACCATTGTGGCAGCGAAGAACTCTAACCGTTACAGGTACTGCACTATTCATTACGATTTTTTTGAAAGAGTACCCTGAATTGACATCTATGCATGCATAAACATGGTTCGAATGTAATACAATACATAATTTACTTTATGTTTACATAAGTTTCAATAGAAATAGTATGCGTTATCAGCAATACCAGACCAGTTAGCAATCAGTCAGTCATCATTCCTGAATACCCCCAGTAGGCCCTTAGATAAAGATTTGAGCAGTTCCACGCCAAATGACGAATCGATCAGTCTCGACCTTTCTTCGATTTGTATGTACTTTTTTTTGCGTAGGATTACGTTTTTTGGCAACATATTGGGGTGCAATTTAAAAAAAAAAAACAAAATCGACCGTGTTACGAAAAGAGGTGATAATAACTCTGTCAATAGCGGATAGATTTTTATACTAAACAAGCCAATCGATTATAAATTTTTCTACGAATTTGCTAAAATGAACACTTTATCAATTATCAATAGGTCACTATTAAATTACACAAATGTCCAACCATAGAGGTAACTCTAAAACTTGAAGGTCCCGAAATAACATGCTCAACTTTTTGACTCAGCTCTGGTACTCTCTTCGGTCCCAAGCTATTCGATTCACCCCTCGAAACATAGGAAAAGCCAATAACCCCTCATTGCATCTGTCAAACTTTCATAGCGAATCAAAACAAACATTGCGTAGAACTAGAATTTCGACTAGAATGGGGTACGTTAATCGTTTGCTTGGGACCAATAAGCTAGTCAAGTAGTGAGCCAATTTAAAATCGTTAGTTTCGTATTTATTGTTGGTCCAACTGTTGCAATGGTGATCAAAATTATCACCTATTGCCTGCAAAAAATCGCTTTCCCTAACACAGATTTCAAAATCGAATTCTTCTGTTTCATGGGCACTTTTTAATTAGAGCGTAACAAATTACATTATAATAGCATGTTTATGAACAACATTTTATGATAAAATTTAATAGAATGGTTTCTGCACTCAGTCGAACGTTAGGTTTTAACATTGTTTTACTCTTTCAGGGTACAATCAGAAGATCTGTCAGCAATACCGTTGATAATTTCTGCACTTATTGAGCGAATACAGCGACGCAACGGAAGTAACACTGATCCGGATAGCAAGAAACCTATTTTAAAAGTTTCCATTTCATCAAGCCCCCCGATCGAAGGATTATTGGAGGAGATCGATAAACATTACAATCTTCGGCTGCAATACAAAAAAGTGTCGGTATGTATTTAGGTATAGGTAAGTGAAGCACGTTTGGAATCAGTGTCGGAAAGATCATTCTCAAGAATTTCTCACTCAGCTCTCACGAGTGAAAATGTAATGTTATTTCGTCTCACTCACATCTCATCACAATGTAGACGTTTGCGGCCACCGCAGTTGATGAAAATCAGGAAAATCAGGCAAATTAATGCCACGCCGGTGATAATATTTGCCTGGTGATTTATTAGCATACAGCTGCACCAAAGCCTTGACAAGATTTGCCTGAGCCAATTTATGGTTGCGAATAAATGCTAAATTTTTTTTTCACGTGATGTACATTAGGGTGGGTTAAGTTTGTATGGTGGATCACAACCCCCTGTTGCCCACTGCTTTTCCGATGTGGTGTCAAATTTGAACGAATTTTGCAACCAGGCTTGATGAAACTCCTCAAATTCCCTAGAGGATTTAAAATTTACCTTGCGAGTTTAGGCAAACACGTGGTTTCTACACAGCAAAAAAAGTTGTTGAATATTACATCGAAACTGCTGCAACCAGGTCAATCCATCGGTTGTGTAATATCACATTGTACGATGTACATCGATTTTGCGAACAAAATTACATCCATTGATGTAATATTGTATCTGCTTTTTGCTATTACATCATTATTCCATACATCAGCTTGAATTACGTTGATCGATATTACATTTTTTTTTGCTGTGTACGTGAAGAACGTTTCGAATTGGTTCCATAATGTGGCCCCAGTTAACATGGAGAAAGCGGGTTGCATCACTCTGAGAGATATGATCAGCACCTCAATCCAGCTTTCCATGCTCGGTAATGGCGGCCTGTTTGTATGAATAAATGTATCCTTCACTGTGCTTTTTGACACTATCTGGATGTTCGGATTTTAATCCCTCCCTTTCCCTCTCCCAGGAACAGAAAAAATGGAACAACATACGCCCTCCAGTTAGTGTCAAAAAGTACAGTGAAGGATACATTTATTCATACAAACAGGCCGCAATTACCGAGCATGGAAAGCTGGATATCTTACATGGAATCAAAGAACAATTCTTTTTATAAACGTGGTACTTGTTGCTCGAAAATATCTATTTAGAGAGGGTTTACCATTTCCCTCGTTTTACCTTCCTCTTTCTCTTCCATTCTCTATCACTGATTGCGATAGCTCAATATGTAAGCGTAAGTTCATATGCGGAAACATCACTATGCCACATATCTCGAGAACGAGTAAAGATTGTGACGTAAATGTTTCCTGGACTATTTTTACGAATATTGTTGTTTATGCAATCGATCAGTTCGTACCGAAGAAAACTCCAACCGAAAATAAAATTATTATATTAAAACAACGAAATTACAATGATTTTTACTGTTGAATTTCGAGTACATTAACATTTATTGTTAGATTATTGTACGGGAGAAAATATGGAATTCGATTTTTAACGATACAATGCTCAAACAACGAAAATTAGTGTGATGAGATCAAATTTGTTTGAGAAAAATCACTTTTTTATATTGTTAAGATGCTTAACAACCTCCCTTTTTACTGTAAATTTATCAAATACCATGATTTTCATTGTTGTGAATCTTGAATTCGTTGTGATTTTATAGTGATGGACAAAAATGTCCAATGTTTTGACAGTAAATAACATGGTTACAATGACAATGAAAATATAACTCACCCTCCATGATCAAACCCTCGTTTGAAACGTCTTATCGTACAGACTATGGCTTATATCATGTAATATAGGCCGCCTTGCAATGAGCACTCATACATCTACACGGTTAGAAAAAAGTACCCAAAATTAAGTCCTTTTCACCCATCTCGGCACTATAGTGCAGGAACCCAAAAGTAGGTAAAGCTGGTCAAAGTAATTTTCATTTACTTGTGTGCTATTCGTATGGAATTTTCCACTGGCTTTTTAACCAAAAGTATGTTAGTTGTACCCAACAGTAGGTAAATATGATTATACTCAACGTTGGGTTCCCACACTTTACTACCCCTGTTGGGTGGTTTTGCTCCTCCGTTTTTGACAACATTAGAAGGAGAAAAGAAGACAAACTAGTCAAAAGTAGGTAAAAGTGAACTTTCCGTTGGGTACTTTTTTCTTACCGTGTAGTTTTCACTGGAAATCCTATGTATGAGTGCTCATTGCAAGACAGCCTATATTATATGATATAAGCCATAGTCTGTACGTAGTATAAAAGCTTCTGGAATCACGTGAAAGATCAACCAAAGGAATCGGGTCTGCCCTCCGCGATGTCCAACGGGGATCGATAAATGTCTAATGTGGATGGTATCGCGAATCTATTCAGGTCACATTTCTGCAGTGTTTTTGTCAATGAGGAGCTCTCTGACGAACACGTTTCAAATGCTGCAAGTGAGTACGTTAAGCTGTTTAATCTCATCCACTGTATAGGAGTCCTAAGCGCACCATTAGCATTCATCTACAACCTCTCGTTGAATTCTGGAATCTTCCCTGATGGCTGGAAGAATTCTTTCGTTTTCCCTGTCTTCAAGAAAGGCAATAAGCAGTCAGTAATCAACCATCGAGGCATTGCGGCTTTATGCGCAGTTTCAACACTTTTTGAGCTGATAGTTTTGGACACACTTGCCTCTCTTGCACACTTCCTCCAGTTACGTTGCCTCCGAACATGGATTTATGCAGAAGAGGTCCACTGCATCAAATCTCGTGCAACACACATCTTTAATAATTCGCGAGCTTGAAAAAGGTGAACAAGTTGAACCACAAGATTGCTGTTGCCAAATTAGAGCAATTATGCTTCCATGGTTCCCTTCTTAATTGGCTTCGTGCTAACCTCACAGGTCGTCAAATTTCAGTGGAAATAGATGACTGTATTTCTCAGTCGTTTCCGGTTTCTTCTGGTGTACCCCAAGGTAGTTATATTGGGTCGTTTGTATTTCTGCTGTATTTGAATGACATATTCCCTTTTCAATCAGGTTTCTGAAGGTATCTTATGCGGATGATTTTAAACTGTATTTCAGGCATAACATTATAACATTTGATAACTGCACAAAAGCATTTGTAAACAAACTTTCTTAATGCTGCTTGAAGGTTAGTTGACAATCTTAGGACTTAGTTAGACTTAGGACTTTGACTGTAGTAATATCATAATGATATTGAACCTACTATCACAGACAAACAGACGTAACTCTTTGAAAAAGTTTTTCTTGTGAACATAGTATCTCAAAACATAGGACCTCAGTAATGACGTCTCTCGGGTTTCTCGCGGAAAACAAGCTTGCTCACTAACTCGCAAACAATATTGCATATAAGTTCTATATAATGTATAGAAACGTCAAGGTGATCCGATGCAAGCGCTGCGGCGAGTAGTTCGCGGAACTGATAATATTCAAATCAACCGTTAAATGCGTGAACGAAGATAAACAATGAAGTGTTACGTCTGTTTGTCTGTGCTACTACCAGTTGATTTGTTTCATGCAGCTGGAGATCCAGAGCCAAAGTGCGGGATTCTCACTATGCCCCACCTGTTCACTATACCCCTCCTTCCCCTATTTTGAACTAGACCCCTTGTACCACCTCTAAATTCAAACGTAAAAAGCGTTAAAAGCTCAATTTTTAATATTTTACTTAATTAGTCCCAATAGTCTCCGAACGATTAAAAAAAGCCCCACCCTAGCGTTTCAACCATCGATCTAACAACTAAAATTGCGGTAATATGTTATTTGGAATTTAAAAAAATATAACGATCGCCTATGTTTTTAGTAAATATTTTTCATGCGATCAATTTAGGGAGTTTTTTAAACACTAAATCCATCTTTTAAATTTGTCGATCCTCTTAACGAAATCTCTTTATCAAGAGCTTTGAGTGTGTTGGTTTATTTCCTTTAAATTCCGTTATAATTGCTTATCTTTTGACAGATACGCGTATTTCGTCTACTACTTGCAGACTTCATCAGTGGTGTTGAGTACCGTGCCAGCACCATATCTGACGCGTCCCTAATGATGACGCACTCGTCTAATTTTTATCGCATCTCGATTTTGACAAGATATTTTTTAAAACTTTGTTACACCATCATCACTAGAGCACAGGAACTAATATTTGCAGAAGTAACATTTCAAAAATAATGATTGAAAATAGTAGAACATTATTGAGTGCGTCGATTTAGGAACCGCTTCGAATATGGGGCCCCCACGGTACTTGGCACTGATGAAGTCTGCACGCCGCCAGCGACCACCTCTACTCTATTGGCGATCTAACGATAGACGCTTTCCCCCCTATTCTGCGAGTCACGTGACTCTCTCTCACCGGTGAGGTGACTATCCATTTGATTTACATGGAGAGTCACCTCACACGAGATGACAATTGTCACCTCACCGGTGACAGAGAGTCACGTGACTCGCAGAATAAGGGGGTTTATGTTATCGTTAGATCGCCAATTGCACATGTTATCGTTAGGCCACCCTTCTGTTTAAGCCACCCGTAACAGACCTAAGGATAGGCTGCACGATCCGGAGAGAGGAACCACTCTTCCCTGTCAGCATCCAAACATGGTTCCACCGGGGTTGGTTACCCGATCTTTCCTATGGCTACTCGTTCCCCGGATACTAATACTTTTCTTTCGGATCCTTACGGTATGTACCGGTATGGTGGCTGTGTTTTTTTTTTTTAACTTTTTATTTGTTTCAAATTCAAAATAAATTACATTTCATTTTAACCTAGGTGCTCCAGTTACTACAGTAACTTACCAGCCTTAATTTTTATGATATATATCTAAGTATTTTTACATTGTTCCTGTCTTGGCAATTCAGTATTTTAAACAGGTTTTTTAAACCTGCATGTCAGTATAACAATTGATATCTTAAAACTAAAAACTAAAACTAAATCTTATCTAAGTATAAAGGGAATTAATCGTTGCAATTGAGGATTGTAACGATTTTTGCCGGAAATTATTAATTATTTTGTTGGACATTTGTGCTAAAGTCTCAACATTCGAAATTCTATGTACTTCGGTAGTACTGTACCAGGGAGGCAACTTCAAAATCATCTTCAGAACTTTGTTCTGAATCTTTTGAAGTGCTTTTTTCCTGGTAGTGCAACAACTAGACCATATTGGCACAGCGTAAAGCATGGCCGGTCTAAAAACTTGTTTAAATATTAGAAGTTTATTCGTCAGGCAAAGTTTGGATTTCCTGTTTATAAGGGGATACAAACATTTTATATATTTGTTACATTTGGCTTGAATGCCCTCAATGTGATCTTTAAAAGTTAATTTTTGGTCAAGTATTAATCCAAGATATTTCACTTGGTTTGACCAGGAAATTGAAACTCCGTTCATAGTGACTATGTGACTACTACTAGGTTTCAAAAAGGAAGCTCTAGGCTTATGTGGAAATATTATAAGTTGAGTTTTGGAAGCGTTGGGAGAAATCTTCCATTTTTGTAAATAAGAAGAGAAAATATCTAAACTTTTCTGCAGTCTGCTGCAAATAACACGAAGACTTCTTCCTTTAGCGGAAATGCCTGTGTCATCAGCGAACAAAGATTTGTGGCAACCCTGAGGCAAATCAGGGAGGTCCGAAGTGAAAATGTTATACAATATAGGCCCAAGAATGCTACCCTGAGGAACTCCTGCTCTAACAGGTAGTCGATTAGATTTGGAATTTTGATAATTTACCTGCAGAGTTCTGTCAGTTAAATAATTTTGAACTAATTTCATAATATAAAGTGGAAAATTAAACTTTTTCAATTTAGCAATCAAACCTTCATGCCAAACACTGTCGAATGCTTTTTCTATGTCTAGAAGAGCAACTCCAGTTGAGTGGCCTTCAGATTTGTTTAAACGAATTAAATTGGTAACTCTTAAGAGTTGATGAGTAGTTGAATGCCCATGGCGAAATCCAAACTGCTCATCTGCAAAAATTGAGTTCGTATTGATGTGAAGCATCATTCTATTTAAAATTATCTTTTCAAAAAGTTTACTTATTGAACAAAGCAAACTTATTGGACGGTAGCTAGAAGCTTCAGCTGGATTTTTATCCGGCTTCAAAATTGGAACAACTGTTGCATTTTTCCATTTATCAGGAAAGTATGCCAAATGGAAACATCTGTAAAATAATTTTACCAAGAAAGACAGGGTACTCTCTGGGAGTTTTTTGATGAGGATATAGAGAATTCCATCATCACCTGGAGCTTTCATATTTTGAAATTTTTTAGTTATAGACCTTACTTCGTCCAAATCAGTCCCCCAGGAATCATCAAAAATATTTTCCCGAGAGAAAATATTCAGATAATCCCGAGCAACCTGATTCTCAATAGGACTAGGGGAAACGCTCCAATAGTTGCGGTACGTTAGAAGCATTAGGTTCCTATAGTTGTGCATGGAGACTCAATACACAACTATAGGAACCTAACGCTTCTAACGTACCGCAACTATAGGAGCGTTTACCCTAGTAAGACCCAAATTGAAATTATGGGAACTCTCGAATTGCTTAGCAAGTTTCTGAGATTTTTCCAAATTTGTGATCAAAATTTTACCACCTTCTTTAAGCGCTGGAATAGGCTTTTGAGGTTTTTTCAAAAATTTTGTGAGTTTCAAAAAGGGTTTGGAACTTGGGTCTAATTTAGAAACATTATTTTCAAAAGTTTTGTTCTTCAGGGCAGAGAATCGTTTTTTAATTTGTTTTTGTAAATCCCGCCAGATAACTTTCATGGCAGGATCACGTGTTCTTTGATATTGTCTCCTACGGACATTTTTAAGACGGATCAAGAGCTGAAGATCATCGTCTATTATAATTGAATCGAATTTAACCTCGCATTTTGGTACTGAGGCAGCTCTTGCTTCAACTATAGAAGTAGTCAGATATTCAAGAGCATAATTAATTTCATCTTTGGTTTGCAAAGGAATGTTTGGATCGAAGTTATATTCCATAAATGTTCGATTTTGCTCCCAATCAGCTCTATGGTAATTGAAAATAGAGCTGTTGGGATTACAAATTATTTCTTGGGATATTTCAAAAGTTACTGGAAGTCCGAAGTCAGCATGGGTAACCAATTGGCTACAAAGTTGACATGAATCAGTTAAGACCAAATCAATAGATGAGGGATTTCTTGCAGAAGAAAAGCATGTTGGACTGTTTGGATATTGAATAGTGTAATAACCTGCAGAACAATCATCAAACAGAATATTACCATTGGAATTGCATTGAGCATTATTCCATGAGCGGTGTTTTGCATTAAAATCACCAATAATAAAGAATTTAGACCTATGACGGGTAAGTTTCTGGAGGTCACCCTTGAGAAAATTCTTTTGCTGGCCTACGCATTGGAATGGCAAATAGGCAGCTATAAACGTAAGTTGTTCAAATTTTGTTTCAACAGAAACTCCCAAAGTTTCAAAAACTTTGGTTTCAAATGAAGAAAGAATTTGATGTTTGATTCGTCAATGAATAATGATGGCAACGCCACCACAGGGTCCATCAAGACGATCATTTCTATAAATTAAATAATTTGAGTCCTTCTTAACCTTATGGTCAGGTTTAAGGAACGTTTCAGTTATAACGGCAATATGCACGTTATGAACTCTTAAAAAGTTAAATAGCTCGTCTTCATTATCTTTAAGAGATCGAGCATTCCAATTTAAAATGTTTAAAGCTTTAAAATCCATTACTGAATTTTAAAGTCATGACAATATTATTAGCTAATTTTACTCCAGTTTGAATAGCATCAAACATGGAGTTAGATTTAAGCATATCAGAAATCATGTCAATTAATGAATTCTGTAAAAATTCCATTTTAGGGTCAGTAATGCTTCCTAAGTCAAAATTGTCAAAATTTCCGTTAGAACGTTGGTTAGTATTTTGATTTCTACCCGCTGCAATAGCAGCATAGGTAGCTCCATTAACTCGCTGAACATTGTAGTAACACTTCCTTAAGCAAAAAGCAAATAGATCCGCACGGCAAGAGAGCACGATGCGGACTGATGGTATGGTGGCTGTTGATTCTTGGTATCGCTTACATTTCTTCCTCAAGTACTTGTAACTCCTCTTCCGTTACCTTGTCATTGTTGTCGAACGATGCACCTTCTGCCACCACACCAGCCAGGCGCGGATTTTGAGGGGGCCGAGGGCCACCACATTTCAGTAGCCCCCACAAATTTCGGACATTCCAATATTAAACCAAACCGCGGCATTCCGTTAAAGAAGTGACATGCAGCTTCGATGGTTGGCAATTTTGGATCGTAGTGCGTCAGTAACAAATCTGACTGCTTGAATTGTTCAAAAGACCGCTGGAAATCGAAATTCAACTACCAGTAGCTTGTCGAGAGGTTACCAGCGCGAAATTTCGACGTGAAACCCATGTTCTTGTAGACGTTGCAATAGCTGCTCTACCTGTTGACCAATTTCACTTCTGAAACTAGGCGGTTGTACAGGGAGAAGCAGCATATTAGAAATATTTCATCCAGTTTCAAACGGTGGTTAATATCACGTGTGCTTATAACTTCTGGAACAGTATTTGTCTTTACTACTTAGTCTAATCTTTTTGTGTATTTTTTTAATAAAACATAAAATGTGATTATCATTGAAATAGAGCGATCTACACTTAATCGACGAAAAATAAAAATAATAAAGGTATATATGGGCTCTATTATGTAAGTCAAGTCGAGCGTCACATTCTGTTATACCAAAATAAACCAGTGACGCTCGATTCGTCTTACATAACAGGACCCTATATATGTGCCCAGCGTGACTTACAAATGGATTATACATTTTAGGACGAATTGGAGGTTCGCACAGGTCAAATGCGACTTTTTGAGCGTAGATTTGTCGTTAAGCTGCAGGAACGCTCGTTGCGAGCCTTAGATGGAATACTGATGTTGCTGAAAAAGAATCACGTTGGAATAGCTAAAACATATGCTGAATTGAAAGCAATCAATTCTCAAATCAAGATGTAAGATAAACGAAATTTCATTGACACAACTCACACAATAGGTAACGATATGCGATTTTCCAGATCTCAAATCCATCTTTCAGGGCTTTTCAGTTTGTTCGAAGCCTGTTTCGTCCATTCAGATATTTCAGCGAAATGCCTGGACACGGTCAGAAGCATTTTTACGACACCCGTGTTTGACTGTTCTGAGCACAGTTGGGAGGAAATGATACAACCGATGTTAAATTTCTTATCCCAAAACGGACCCCTCCGTGCAACGACGGGCATATCGTCATTCGATGAGAAGTACGTGTTTGCCGTGGATGATAACTTTCACCTGGAACAGTTCAAGAAACAACTTACGGCCTTGTTTGCTCGTATCGGCGAGAAGCGTTCCAAAACTAGACGATCCAGTGCGGATTTCGAGGAAGAGTTGGAAGAACTTGCTGATGAAAATGAAGCAACAACGAGCGAATGGGTCAGTTACGAGAAACCGAGTGATATGCCTCTATAATAAGGATGTTTAGGTTAAGGAAGATTTAGGTATGTGCTAAGTGGCTTAGTAGGTGCTTGTCATCTATCCTCGTTATCTCGTTTAATGTAATGTGATAGTGAACGAAAGTAGATCTATCACTATCTAAACTCAATAAACAATGGTAAAATTATTTGCTTTCTAATTTAACTTATACTGTACCATAAATCGAACAGTGTCTAATATTGGACAGGTTGATGTTTAATCAACATTATCCGATAAAACTGCATTTCTATGATTATCAGTGTATTCTCGTAATCGCTTATTCATAGAGCAAATCGATTAAACCTCGAGCTGTCCATAATTAGGCACTGTTCAACTGATGGTGCTTGTACGGTACGATTAAAATGGACCACCAAAAATCATTCACTAAAATCAACCATTATCATTTATTTTATTTATTTTTTTCGTTCAGGAAATGAAGAAAACCATATCAGTAAAGTTTTGTGTTATTTGTGTATTGTAGGCACCTCAAAACCATTTCCAAATGCCTTTCTCCTCATACCTACCATCAGATTTTGTACTTTTTCTGCTTTGTTGTTTGTGGAGATTGACAATTGACAATACAGTTAGATATCGATTTTGCCAACAAGTTGTTTTTGCCGTTTGTGTGGTCCACAGGTTTATTATATGTCAACCTTTAAGTCGGTTTCTTTCAAGTCCTTTCTTCAATATAACAAGGGCATACAAAAATAAGAAACAAGGAGTTGAATTAGACAGTGTTGCGAAATTTTAGCTTAACGATCATTGAGTACTGTTGGCAAACACGATATCTCACTATTATATCATCAATATTATTAAAAATGTTTCCAATATCAAGCCTAATAGAAAAACACCATAACGACGATTTCACGGTGCTTAACGACGGATCGGGTAATCATTGAGATCATGAGTGACGGTTTACTGCAGAAGTCAACAATACAAGATGACAAAGTACCAGGGCTTTCGGATTGCATTTAGGCAAGTACAGATATTTTGCTGAGTTGTTTGTTGGCTTTATATTTGAAGTGGATACTGATAATACTTTTATGTTCTATGTACTACAAGAATCAGCTTTGATTAAATAGTTTAATAGAACTCGTATATCCCATACAAGATCGATCTGCTCACACTAAAGTAAGAAGTTAAAGCTTATTCTAGCCAAATCTAGGGATAAACTTAATCTAGTGCCCTTGTTTAAGTGTTTCGCAAAAAGAAACTATAGTTATTATACCTCAACTGAGTTCAGTGAACAAATAGAAAGGGCAACAAAACTTACCCTTGTCCAAGGATCACAGCATGATGCATCGGGATCACGGAATTCAAATCGGAAGTTAGAAATCCTTTAGGTGGTCGCAATTTTCACGATGGCAGGGAAGTTAATTTTAAATATTGACAAAAGTATCTCAAAATATAATGGACTAAAGGTTGATTAACTTCAGATCAGGATTCAGTCCCCATTAATTGGCGAATTCGGGATAAATACTTGTTGACCTATTATGTTGTTATAAACTACTTATGAAGTGGTTTTCCAACAGTAGAAGTTATTTCATATTTTCTGTACTACTACAATGTTCATTTAATCTTTTTGAATACTGAATTCAGGAAATACAATTTTTGAACCTACATGTGGTTAAAAACAAATTAAATTAAATTCATGAAAATAAATAAAATAAAATTCAATGTGCAGCAATAATAAAAAAAAAAAGTACTTAGGCGCTAAGTAGTGACCTTTTGCGACCATTCGTTACGGTGGAAAGCCGTCAATATCTGTATGCTGTTTTACTTAGGCTAGAAAGAAAATACCAAACCAAAGAACAATGTTAAGTTCGTTCAATAATCGGCACTTTGTCTTACACAATTCACTGAACTAGTTTCACAAGCAAAGACCAAGACAAAGACAGATGCTATTTTGTTTTTTGTTCTTGATCGAGGAACTGTGTCAACAAAAACCGAAAGATGTGAAGCTTTAATTTAGGCTAACAGTCTAGCAAAACTTTTGCATATTGCACCAAAACTTTAAAACACGCATTGAAAACACATCGACAATTTGCTCAATGCTCCTCAAACTCATTGTAGTCGTCACGATCAAATCACGCGAACAACTATGGAAAAAACTACTTCCTTCTATTTCCCACTAGGAGACTGTTTTTTCTTAATCATACTCACCTGTTGCTGTGCCGTGACAGATGCCTGCATTTGCTGCTGTGTTGCCTGTTGTGTTTGCAACAGGCTTGTGCTACCATCTGGTGCTGCAGATGCTGATGTTATAATCTGTTGCGACTGTGCTTGAATCTGTAGAACTTGCTGCGTGGCTGTCTGTGTTTGTTGCTGTTGAGACTGACCTCCAGCGGTAACTATCTGTTGGGTTTGTTGCTGCAAGTCTGCGCTGGTAACAGTTGCCACCGTTTGGGGTTGCTGGACTGTTACTGCTACCAATGACCCACTGGATGTTTGTAACCGCACCGGACTAGCATTTTGCCGTTGCTGATTTTGTAAAGCGGTCAAAATTGCTTGCTGTTGTTGCTGGGGTGTGGCTCCAGCCGCCACCTTGATGGTTCCGATATTCTGGGTGGGAACATGTGTTCGAATATTGCCAGCCGCAATGGCCTGGGCAGCCGATGTCGCAGTCACAACCTACAAAAGATGATGATTGTTAATGCCAACAAAATTTAGGGTAAGGAAAAAATCGTTACCATACATACCTGTATAGTTTGCCTCTGATTAGCCTGTTGTGAAACGGACACAGGAATGACCCTTCCGACGCTAGTTTTACCCAGAACAATTTGCCCTCCTGCCGCCAACGACGCTGGCTGAGCGTGCCGGATGACTTGCTGTATTTGTTGTACGGTTACGGTACCTGCAGGAAGATTCTTAGGACCCTGAACGAAAAGCTGCGTTGGCTGACCAGCTTTGCCAGCTACTTGAGTAATTTGAGTCATTTTACCACTTTTTCGCTGAGCAGCAATGATTTGCTGCTGAAGCTGAAGTTGACGAACCTGACTTTGATTGCTAATCGTCTTCAGTTGACCGGGTTTTACCTGTGAAAGTGTCATTCCCGTTGCTACTGTTCCAGTCGAAGTCTTCACCAGTGTAGCAATTTGCTGACCGGATGTTCCGGCTTGCTGCACTTGCAGGTTAGCAGGAGCGAAAATCTGTGTCTGTGGCATCAGCTGTTGCTTATGCTGCTGACTGATCAGTTGTCGTTTCATCATCATTTGCATCTCGCTTTCAGTGACCGGTCGAGTGATCATTTGTTTCGTTCCGACTTGTTTGATGAACTGTGTTCTCTGCTGTCCAGCGACCTGAACTGTGGCTATGGTTCCTGCCTGAGCTGTGGAGACGGCACCGGAACTGCTACTGACCGTAGCAACTGATACTTTCTGTCCAGCCGATTGCACTTGTAGGGTCTGTCCAACGGGTCCCGTTTGGATTATGTTGCCCTGAATAATAGCAGGACTGACCAAGGTTTGCTGCCCGCCGGCCTGTTGGAGTACAGTTGTGCCTCCTTGAGCGGCATTCGGATGTAGTACCTTAAGCTGTTGTCTAATTGGTTGCTGGCGGTAAAATTGTATCTGGGATGTATTGATTGGTTTTCCCGCACTCGTAACAGTTCCCACCGATATGCCTTTGGCGACGACACCGGAAACTTGTTGACCAGCCATGGACAAACGAAGCTGTGCTGTCTGTAGCTGAGCCTGCGTTAGACCTTGCCCTAACCCGCTAACACTCACCACCGTCGGGCTTTGGGATCCCGAACGTTGATGGAGAACCACTTCTTGCAGCGTGCCAGGCGGAGCAACTATTCGTTGGGCTCTCAAAGCAGACGTCGTAAGTGTGGCGACCTGCGATTGTTGCATCGGACTGCCCGTCGTCATAACAGTACCAACTGTGGCCAACTGTGCAACAGACACCACTTGGGGCAGAGACTGCGTTGCCAAAGTTTGTACAATCGAGTTCGAAACCTGCGTCACAACTGGAGTGCTCTGGATGATCTGCGGCGTTGATTGATGAATTGACACGATCTGAGGCTGCGACAGTTGATTAGCCGAAATGGTCGTCACCGGTGTTGTTAACACGACAGAAACCTGTTGCTGTTGACTGTTCTGAGCAACAGCTAACTGTTGCGTCAGGAGATTTTGATTCGAGGGACTGGCAACGATGGCCTTCATAATTTGTTGCTGATTGGAGTTGGAACAAATATTAACCACGGGCTGAGCACGTCCAGTTTGCATGGAAGAAGGTGCCTGAACGAGTGTCGCCACCGCTTGGGACGCATTCGTCCCTACACCGCAGACGACGATCGTTGCTTGTCCTCCTGCGGCCGCAGTAGCTATGTGTTGCTGCGTGTGCGATTGAAGCCGGATCTGCTGTGCCACTTGCTGTTGGATGTCGTGTGTCGACTGTGATTGGGTGATTTGCTGCTGTAAATTGAAGAAAATTTAAGAAGTTGCATTTATGTTCCAAACGGTTGCCTTGAACATAATTTTCTTCGCGACTAGAATCCACCGTACGTGTTAGAAGAAATCGAGAAATCTCGATTACTTTTTCGAAGGGACGTATCAGCTTTTTTAAACAATGCATTTGATCGTCGGGCTGGTGTAACTGGTAGCCCGTTCACGCATACTAACACCGAGAAATTAAGAAAACATAATCATGTAGTTGAATAAGAAAAAAAAGGCCATCCAGAGCTCGACTAGTTCACTGATTTTCGACTCGTTTGTTGGTGAGGTAGTAATTTTGAAAAAAAAATATAAAAGAGGGCTGGGTCAGTTTTAGAAATGGTATGAGTAATTTATCAGAATTTTAAATCATTTTGTCAAAATTTAGCCAACATTAGTTCTTATGTTGTTGGTAAAAACGGTATGGATTTATTATTTAAAAGTCAGTAAAGGCGCAGCAAGACCATGCTGAAGGTGGCTGGGTTCGATTCCCGGTCCGGTCTAGGAATTTTTCGGGTTGGAAAATGTCTCGACTTCTATGGGCATAGAGTATGATTGTACTCGCTACACAATTATAATAATTCAAAAATTGTACAGGCATCGAAAGTTCTTAATTAATAACTGTGGCAGTACATCTAGAACACTAAGTTGAAAGCACGCAATAAGCTAATATGCAATAAGCAATAAGCTTGAACATCAACAATTTACGAATTTGTTTCGAAATTTACGCGGCACGCATCCGCGCGTAAAAACGGACTCCAGTGTAAATAGGATATTTTGCTAATACAACTTACGTCAAACATGATGTGATGAGGTCCGTCTAAGCTCTACGGATTCTTTCATGACATCGAACAAGACTCATTACTCCAGGAGAATTCAGAGAACCAGATATACTCAGATACTATATATTCCATAGATAAGCGAAGGCACAAAAAGTGTTTTTGGAAACCATGAAAAATAAATGCTCTTACTGGCATTCGGGAAATATGTTCATGCCATCATAGAGCTCTTCGTTGTGCAGTTTTGTTTTGAGCCCAAAAGTTTCAAATGAAGTGCAAAGCAAATCTTTGCAACAATGAATCAAGAAGTGGTTAGCGTAATATTTCCTTCTTCCTTTTTCCGCGAAATGAATCGGAATGTGGAGTGTGAAAAGCATTTTGTGCCCATAATATTACAATACTTCCCCTGAAAAACACTCCATGACGAAGTCATGTTCGTTTGGCTACACTAACTGACAGTTCGTTTGGCTACATTCTACTTTTCCCCCGCTTATCTTTGGAATCTATAGTATCTATAATGACTGATACTGATCATTCTTGTATGAAATTGGATCCAAACGTAAACAAACCCTGTAGGTTTCGTATGGCTTGTTTACGTTTGGAACCAGTTATGTGAGGTAGGCGACGATTGTTCACTCAAAATAATTCATACGTCAATGCTACGTGAAAAATCACGTAGATTCTAAAAAATGCTTTTTTATTCCAGTTTATCTGACAAAGGTAACTATCATCGGACTTTGGTTGTATATGAAATGAAGCGCCAGTTACTTTTACTGCACGTACTTTTTTAAATTCATTTTGACAGCTGCATTCCGCGTTCATTCTGTGTATGAAGAATAAGCAAAATGGCGCCTGTTGAAAACAAACTGCAAGAGCTGCTAGTTCATTTAAACATCACGCAACATTTCTTAGAAATATTTGATGGTAAGAACGGTTTAATGTGAGATTGTATCTTATATTGATGTGTCTTTTTTGATTTGAATAGAATGTGGAGTCGATTTTGTCGATTTGCTCAGAATTACGACTGATCAACTTCGCAAGTTTTTGGAACCAACAAAAATTTTCTGGCGTATGAAGTTACAAGATCTTTATCTGTAGTAGATGTGCTAAAAATTGAGTTATTTGAAAGTTCTCCAGTATCAGTACACAAAATCGGTGATCAGTCTAAAATGTATTTTCGAGTTAAAAATAGTTCCAATGTTAATCCTGTAGAAGCTAGTTTGTAGTTTGTAATAAAATTTGATATATTATTCATATTGTTTTATTGCATTAATATATTTTGCATTATTTTCCAATTATGTATTTTAGTTAGGAGCATACGAATTGGAAAATAATGCAATCATTGTAATAATTGACTATGAATCAATCAGATTATATATAAAAAAAAACAAAAGGTAAAAATCAACGCAAAACAACGTGCTTTCCACAGAATTTTTTGATAAAATTTACTGGATTATCATCTAGGTTCTACCTAAACACTCCGTAAAAGATACGGGAGAAGTCACGTAGCTATTACGTGAAATTCCAGTGAGATGAGAGTTCATTAGTTCATTCTGTACTACCTATGATCCACGTGAGTGCTACGTGAAAAGTGCGATGGAAAAAAGCCACGTATGTTTTCACGTAGCATTGACGTGTGGATTATTTTGAGTGTTCATATTTGAAGCCACCTCCTCCTCTTGATAATAACAACCTGGGTCTGGCAAATTGATAAACAAAACAAGATAAGCGTGACTCTCTCAAAGTGAATGTAGTAGATGTTGAGTTTGATATTTTCGTTTTTCGATAGGAATTGGAAGGTGGAGCTACGAGAAGATTGTGTAGATGCTTTGCAAGTGTACTGGTAAAAAAGGAACAAGGTCACGGGAACTATTTTGAAGTGATTTGTGAAATTTGTAATAACATTTCGTATCAGAAATGGTTTAATTTACAATGTTTTTCGTAATTATGAAACCATTAGATGCACGCAGAGAAATGATTTTTAAATTCAAATGGATATATAATAATAAGATATTTTTGGTATTGATTCAAATATTTAATTAATATTTGATATTTTAATTCAAAGACAAATATTTCAAATCAACAAGCCGGTTGTAGAGTCAATAATCTGTTTGTTGATTCAAATATAGTTAAATCGCTGATTGTGACGCACTGAAAGCAATATTGACAGGTTTTATGTGTCAAAAACATACTTCACGACATCTTCTTGTTACTTACAAGTTCTTATTATCATCATAACATCTAATGTTTTCAGATGACCCATCATTTCCCGTGACCCATCTTACCCCACCTTACCCTAAGTCTTATTGGTAAACTTTTTCTTCTTTTTCTATCCCAGATTAAGGAAAATGAAGTCGGCAAGCGATCCTCTAAAAAGTACAAGTCAGTTTACATACACAGGTAGAGTAAAGTATACAAAACAGAAAGTACAAATAGTTAAGAAGTTAACAGAATTTGATCAAAAATATATACTAATATATTCGATTCGAAATACAGTACTGGACAGATAAATCATACGCTCAACCCAAAAAAGTACATTACATCATATGTTTGCTATTTTGCACGCAATTTCAGCAGTATATTAAGAAAAGTTCAAGTATTTCTCATGGTGCATTCAATTAGCTGAATGAAAATTGTTATAATATTCTGCTATTTTTGTTGCAAATTTAAATAAATATATGCTCACTTTTGTGCTTGGACAAAATAAATCATACACTCCTAAGATTTTATTTTTTAGCCATCGAATAAAAACAAAATCTGAAGATTTGGCATCACGGTGTAATATTTGACAGTTCTTGTTCCGGGAAGCGTGCGCATCGCACCATTGTGTTTTGTTAGCGTCATTTGAAAAGTGAAAAATGTCGGGAAAGCAGATTTCTCTCGATGTTAGAAATTTGGTGATTCGCGATCGTGAAAAAGGAATTTCTTTTCGGAAAATTGCCGAAAAGTACTCGATCCAGTTGGAGCTGTTCAGGACATATGGAAAAAGTACGAAACACGAGGAATTGTGAGGAATTTATCCGGACAAGGACGTCATCGTGCGACAAGTAATCGTGATGACATCATAATTGTTCGAATGGCTATGCAGAATCCGAAGTAATCGTCGAGGCATATTGTGGAATCGATGGATCTCAATGTAAGTCGACGTACTGTTCGCCGGCGACTTAATGACAGCGGTTTGAAAAGCTGTTTGGCATCGAAGCGTCCTTTTATTAACAAGCGGAACCAACGGAAGCGACTGGAATTTGCTAAAAAGTACGCCGGAATGACTGTGGACTTCTGGAAACGAGTTTTGTGGACGGATGAGAGCAAATTTGAGTTATTTGGACAGAAAAGGCGATCAGGGGTTTGGCGAGGTTCCGGTGACGCTCTAAGGAACCATACATTCAAAAGATGGTTAAACACGGGGGCGGAAATATCATGGTATGGGGAGCATTTGCGTGGTCTGGTGTTGGAATCTTGGATCATATAAAGGGAATAATGACTGCAGATGTGTACATTGACTTGTTAAGTGAAAATCAGGAAGTTTCGCTACTGAAAACTGGCCTGGAATCCAATTACATTTTCCAACAAGATAAATCGGATCAAAACGCTGGAATGGCGTCCCAATCTCCCGTTCTCAACCCAATTGAGAATTTGTGGTCTTACTTGGACAACAAAGTGGTTTCCAACAAAAACGTTTATTTTGAAGCACTTGAAGCAGCGTGGGAGAATATCGATTCAGGATATCTACAAAACCTTGTCGAAAGTATGCCAAGACGGTTGGAAGCAGTGTTGAAAGCAAAGGGTGGTCATACCAAATACTGAGAGTGTTGAAATGTAAGTTGAAAGTTGAATTAAATAAGAATTTTCAATAAGAAATCAGGCGTACTCGAAATTCAACTCGAAATTCTTCTTTTACAACTTATAAATGATGATTGAGAAAGTCATACAATATATTGAATATTCTATACCTGCACAGTTTTAGCGAAAAACATACAGAAGTATTGCCGAACAAACCATTATTGTATGTTTGAATCTACCTGATATATCGAGCTCCAAAGAAAAATTATATGGGTGTATGATTTATTTTGTCCAGTACTGTCTATACAAACATATTTTAAGATCAAATTCCCGGATATTTCCCGCTTGGTTTCGATTCCCGGTTCTCCCGGTTGAGTGACCACCCTGATTAGGTAATGTATTGCCAAAACCATCTTTATC